TGACACTGGAGCAGGGCTTCCCAGCGGGAAGCGAGCCTGCCCACAGGACGTCCCGCACTGTCACGGGACTCCGTGCCTATGGCAGCTGGGGCAGCTGCTGGTATGCGGTGGGCAGAGGCCACGGGTTGCTCAACACCCTGCAGTTCACAGGATTTCGCCACCTCTGCCAGCAAGGAACTCGACAGCCACAAATGTCAGCAGGGCCACTGTGCAGCACCCCGCGGAGGTGTGCAGGTGAAACAGCCCTAAGGAAGGCTGGAAATCTGGAAGCTTTTCAGTGTCATGTTGGTACTCCTGAAGTTTTGGATTCCAAATGTTCTGTTTCAGATTTCACAATTCTGGATAAACAATGGTCACTTGGTAAAGTACACGCAAATATTCCAAGATCCAAAAAATGGAAATATGAAACAGCTCTGCTCCCAACTGTTTCAGATGAAGGATTTTCAACCTGCACTAGCTTATGAAAACAGAAGTGGCATTATCCATCATCCTGATGGTTAAGTTAGCACAGGTCTTTGAGGCGTGTGAGACTTTTTTGGTACTGGGAATCAAACTCAGGACCTTGCACATGCTAGGCAGGCACCTGTACAGCTGAGCTATCTCACTGGCTCAAGTTCTTAAAATATTATAGATGTCCCAAGCCCACTAGGGTCATCTGCAAGTGTCCAACAGTCATCCCTGATTCTGTAGCATTGGGGTGAAACACACTTGTTCCCCAGGATGCTGAGGGTGCTGCCAGGGGTGTGTGCAGTTGCTCAAGAAGAAACTGCCAGTTGTCCAGGGCACAGGGAGCTCTTAGATCTTCTACAACTCAGACCAAGGAAAATATTGCTACTTTGTTTTCAGGTAGTTTTTAACTGTTCTCCATTTCCAACTTCTAGCATCTGAACATTAATAATTTCTGTAGAGGGGAAAAAAACCACCCACCCAAAACAACAGTCCTAACAAATGCCACCTCTGCTTTTCACCTGGCCTCTCCTTGTCCACCCTCTATGCTTTCTTCCTCGTTCACCCATCATTTGGTGACGGGGTTAAGGGAGCCGTGGAGCACCCCAAAAAGCAGGGGCCACTGGTAGAGCACACTACTTACAATAACACACAAGGAGAAAGCAATATTCTACGAAAATGTATTAGGGTCCTCAGAAGGAAACACTGAGGTGACAAAGGGACCAAGCTCGAAGGAGCAGGAGGGAGGCGAGGGAAGGAGACAGAGAAAGAGTGAAGGTGTGCTACACACGTGTGCCAGCTCCCCACAATACCAGCATCACGTACTGCAAACGGACAGAAAAAAGCAGCAAAGGGTCAAAGAAACCTACCCTCAGCGAACAAGCTGTCACATCTCTAAAAAGGAGACTCTGCAGGCTGGGGAGGGAGCCACTGTGAGGGTGACTTCACACGGCTCCTGGATCTCTGACAGACACATGGGGCCGTGAGACAGGAGGAAGGTTCAGAACACAGACCCCTTCAGACGCAGGTGGCACAGGAGTCTAGAAATTCTCTGAGCAAGCAAGCCACCGTGGGCCACTTCTCGGCTCCTCCTGAAGGACGCGCGCTGAGCGCTGAAGAGCTCACGAATCACAGTAACAATGAGCTCTCTTCCTGTGCTCCTGCATGTGTACTGGGAATTCATCACAGTCCTGCCCAACTGTTTCCTGTTAAACTAAAATGTGGGCTCCTTCAGGGCATGGAGAGGTGGGAATACAAAAAGGTAGCAATTATAAAAAATGTTCTAAAATCTGTATTTAAAAAACTATCATAATTAGCAATAGTGAAACATAGTAACACCAAGAAAATAGTTGACTTATTAATAATTAGCTCAAGAAAGAAAACTCTACTACGGAAACACAAGTCCATCACAGACACCATAAAATATAGTATAATGGAATCCAGCAAACGACCTACTTTGAAAAGCTCACAGAAACCTCTTACATAAGAGGCCAAAGAGAAGTCCTACTTCAGCTTTGAAGATTTCTTCTGGCTTAAATGTCAGTAAAAAGAATTGTATGATGGTGGGATTGCTTAATTATGCTACAAGATTGTGTGGTACATAAAATCCTCATTAATGGCAATACAATTAAAACAGTTTTCTAATTCATTTTCCTAAGTGACACGTGTAGTTGGTAATTTTTCTGAAAGTGGATGAACGCCCTCATGACCCGCAGTGTGGCTGAAATTTTGGTGCTGTGCTTTTCTCATTTATAAAAGGAGGACATGGCCTAAATCTACGATCATTACAATCATTTTTTTAAAGGAGGCCAAGCCTCTCCTTTGGTACAGGTTACAGGACACGCATGGTGATTACACTCACTCTGTATCTCTTCTTTCACTCCCTTCTCCCCTCCTTCTCCCTTCCTTGGAAGCACCTTTCCACTTGCAACAGACTTATCTCCCTGCTGTCTGCTGCCTCTCTTTTCAAACTACTTATACTTCGGTTTCTCACACATTGGAAGCTGGGTGACGTTCAGGCTTGTGCATCTAGTTATTTCACTTAACACGATGGCCTTAAGGTACGTTTCCTGTTAAACGAGTTGCTCGCACGGATCCCTCTTCATGGCAGAGCACCATGCACCGTATACAATCACTTTTCTTTTTCTTTTTGTCTTTTTGAGACAGAGTCTTGCAATGCAGTTCAGGTTGGCTTTAAGGCCGCTTTGTAGTCCAGGCTGGTCTCAACTCACAAGGCTCCTCCTGCTTCAGCCTCATGAGTGCTGTGACTATAGGTGTGCACCACCGTGCGTGGGCAAATTTTCTTTATCCATTCATGTATTGATGGCTATCTGTACCTGTATTTATCTATCTATCTATCTATCTATCTATCTACCCATCTAGTATCTTTTCCAAGATTTGCTATTATGAGTTTTGTTGCTATAAACATGGAAATTATAATTGTAGGACTCCAATTTTAATAGGCCTTCAGAAATTTACATAGCTTCTGCTCAAATATTTTAAAATAATAGCTAAAGACACCACCTTCTTCCCACAGTACTCCTCCTTGGAAGTCCAGGCGAGCTCCTGTGCGGGTTGTGGGCACAGGGCAGGAAGGACATGACACAGCACAAAGCCAATGAGAAATGTCCATGCTGACGTGGGCTGATGTCTAAGAGAGAAGATCCCTTAAGAAATTCAACAGTAAAAGTACTATTACTTTCACACTAAATTATAATTTATTAAAAGTGAGACAACTCTCGTAATGGGAATATCACTCTGGGCAATAATCATCCAGAGGTACCCTTGCTTCAATTTTTTAATATTTTGCACCGGCACTCAAACTCAGGACTGTGTGCTGGCCAGGCAGGTGCTGTGCTCCTCTCCACACAGCCCTCTTGTCTGGATTAACTTGCTATAGAATTCAAGCTAAGGGTGCTCACTGCGGGGTTCTGCACTCGTCACCTGCGTGATCTGATAGGTCTGCCTAGTGACCAAGTCCTATGAGCAGTCAGGAAATGTGAGGTGTGGCTTTCACAGGCACAGTGACCGGCACGTCTGTGACGGCTTGTGTCCTCACGTCCCCCAGTGCTGCATGCACCCACTGATGGGGCTTTTCAGAGCCGGCTGGATCTTGGGCGTGCTGCTGGGACTGAGGGTGCCTCACCCTGCGTGTGGGGGGCACCATGCAAAGGGTGAGTGGCCTGGCTGGAATACGTAAGATGGAGAGGCGGGGTGGAGCTGCTTCCCGCGTCACTGCTTGTGCCTTCAGCCTGCTGTGGGCTGTTCCTCCTCGGCCTCGCCACCCTGCCCTGGAGGCAGCTGAGCATGGCCCGAAACCTCTGCAACTGTGACCTGAATAAGCCTTTCCTCCTGTAATTTTGGTGTCAGGCATTTTTTTTCTCAGCACTGAGAAAAGTAACCAAGACGCAGGTCTCTCCTGAAGGTATTTTCTATTCTACGTAGACCAAAGGAAAACATTTTTTTTTCCTAAGAGTATTTAGACACGATCTCACTATGTAGCCCAAGCAGGCCTCTTACTGTTTTTCTAAAATGAACTATTTCTTAATTATTTTTCTTATAAAGAGATCTTCAAGTGAGACCCTGTAGATCCTTCCCTAAAATACAAAAAAATAAAAAAAGAGTCTGTTAGAAAGAGAACTTCAGTGATACATTGCTAACAAATTTCCATGACACTCTGCCACTGTAAACTTTTCACATAACCAATAAAATGTCTTTTTTGGAGACACTTCAAAGTACAAGTCTCTCCGTATTCTTCGGTTCACTACAGCGCTTCCACAACAGTCAGGGTGTGTAAGGAGCTGAGTGCCGCCCATGCATGGAGGGAGACAGAACTGTGGTACACGGGAAGCAAATGTGGCACGCGGGGAGACCCTGTCACTGGGAGCAACATGAGCAGGCCTGGAGGCACCATGCCAGCTGAAACAGACCAGACGCAGAGAGGCAAACGAGAAATGTTCTTACTTACACGTAGAAACTAACAAGTGACTGAGACTGGGCCTGGTGGCGCGCCTGTAATCCCAGCACTTGGGAGGCTGTAAACAGGAGGATCACTACGAGTCTGACCTACATAGAGAGACCCTATATATCCTGTACATGCAGTCCTAAATACAAAAAAAAAAAAAAAAAAAAATCAAGTACAACTCATCGCACTTGTCTAATGCACTCGGCTGGGTCTCAGCGTGCCCCATGGCGTTCCTTAGCCCCCAAGAAGAGTGCTCCAGCGGCCGGCCCTGAGAACGCCTGCACCTTCTGTGCTTGAAAGCAAGGAGGCCCGGAAATGGCCCAGCACAAGCGCCTGTGGAGGCCGCGTGGTATCACAACCTCGGTTAGCAGGGAGCCCCTGAGCACCCTTCTAGCAACTCCACAGCCAACAATCAGGAGAGCGCTCTCATCCAGGAGGAAAATCTACCGTCTGAAGCTCAGGGACACCGTGCTCCAGGGAATAGGCCAGCGCGTCCCCGCCGCCATCCTCTGCATGTCCTCTGCCGCCATCCTCTGCAGCCCAGTGCTCTGCCGCCTGCCCCCAGGCTCCCTGTGCAGCCTGCACTCACCTCTCCCGAGGCACCGCGAACCAGTACTCAGGCTGCTTCCTGCGCCGGCCATACTGCTGGACCATGGCGGCCGTGTGCGTGGCAAAGGACTTCCGCATCGGCTTGCCCACTCTGATGCACAGGAACATGGGTGGGCTCTTGCTCTTTTCTTCTTTCGAAGGAAGGATATCTGCATTGCACATGACAAAGCTGAAATGTAAAACTTAGGACGAGTAAATTCTGCACCAAAGGAAAAAGCTGTACAGCGTCAGGTGGGAGTGCATCAGACGAGGTGCTACACACTGGAGAATCACACGAAAACCAACTCAAGAGCACACCTGCAGGACCTGACAGTCCCCGGCACACACATCAGTGAGGGGCACGAGGAAGCATCATGTCGCTCTGCAATACAATTTAGAATTAAATCTCTTAAAAATCATCTTAGCTGGGTGTGGTCCTGGATATCTGTAATCCCAACACCTGGGGGGCTGAGGCAGGAGGACCTTGAGATCAGCCTGGGCTACACGGTAAGACCCTGTCTCAAATAATGGGAAAAAAAAAAAGTGAAACTCTTGGTTTAGAAATGCAGGCTAAAAATAGAAAGGTACTTGAAAGATTTTTTTTTTTAAATAAAATAAACAACTTTTGAAGTAGAAATCAATGATATAATTTTGAGTTACAAAATAGCCTATTTCATCAATTTTTACCTTAATGATTACTACTAGCAGTGAGGACGCGATCTACTGGGAAAATGCTGTTCTCAAATAATTGTACTACTTTGGCTATTACAGACACAGGCTTCAGAAAGCCGATTATGCACCAGAAACATGGCACTAAAGAAAAACAGATTACCTTCGATGGGCACCTGAATCCTCTTCAGCAGCCATAACTGAATTTCAGATTTATTGTCCATCTGGAGGCCAGGGCAGCTGCTGTCCAGGGCTGGTTCCGAAGCGGAGTCCAGAGACTCTTTAATTCTATGTTCTCCCACATCAGTGTCCACCTGGAGAGCACGAGGCGCCCCGTCCTGCCCTCCCTGGGTCTTATCTGGATCCTCTGTGCTCTCAGGAGGCGGATCGCCCGCCCGGAGGAGCGAGCTGCTTAGGGTGATGTCGATCCCCGCTGGCTCAGTACTTCTGCTGTCACTCAATTTTGCCATCTGCAAATTGTCGGAGAGCGGGGGCCCTTCTTTATTCTTGTTTAGGTAATACTCAATGAGTTTAACTTTATCTAGATCTTCGTGGATACTCAGTGAGTTCTCCACTTGGCCTTCTGGGGAGCTGGACTGCTTGTCCACCTCCGGCTTGGTGTCTTGCTTCTCACACGTCTCTGAATCCAGGGTCCCTTTCAGCTCGGCATCGCTGTCTGCGACCGGGATGCTCAGGCCTGTCTGCGCCCGCATCTCTGCAGTGGAGGCGTCTGTCTTCAACTCAGTCTTCTCCCCTGCGTCCCGGTCAGCTGGAAGGCACTCCTGCACAGTGTCTCTCCTGTCCTTTCTGCTCTCAGTCTGAGAAGAAAGCTCTTCCAAGTCCACAAAGTCCTCGTCTTCCCCTACCAGGCAGTTTTCTTTGGCTGTAGATTCAAACTTGGGGTGCAGCTCTGAAGGTCCCCTGTGCAAAGCAGTCTCCTCAGGACATCCGCCTACACTTCCTCTTGTGGGTTCCAGTCTCGAGAACCTCCCTGAGGCAGAGCTGCTGCCAGGTTCTGTCTGCACACACACTGCGGGTTTCTCCAGGGAGCCTGCTGCTGTGGACTCGGAAGTCTCTGTCTTCTCTCCGTTCGGCTGCCTTTTATCCCTGCTGATGGTCTTGAACTTGCTGAATGGGTTGATGTCCCTTTCTGAAGCCAGGTCCTCCCACTCTCCAGGCCTGTACAGAGGACAAAGATCCTGAGGTCGGTCACTGTGGGGGAAATGGCGGTGCACATGGAATGTTAAAAATAACACAAAAGATGTGACGGAGGAGAGGCAAAACATAAACATAACTTCAACCAAAACTCAAAATGTAAGTATACCACAACTTAAATTTAAGTTAGGGGCCAGGGACAGAGCTCAGCAGCACTAGTGCCTGCCTGACAAGTGCCAGGTCTTGAGTTCAATTCCTGGTACCAAAACAAAACAAAACAAACAACAACAAAAATTTAAGTTAAAATGATTCTGGGACAAGAAAATGCAACAGATTTCAAAATGAAACATAAGTCAACTGAAAGAAATGGCAAGAGAATGAAGCATGAATTGCACATCTCAGTAGAAGTATGTAGATGTTTCAGAAATTACATATGAATGTGGAGGTGTCGCCCATAAGACTTTAAATACAGAACAACAATGCTTCCATTTTTCAAGAAGAAAAGGATAAAGAGGAGATACTCTAGTACCACTGATTAAAACTCCTTAAATATTCACAGCCTTTGCTTTTCACACAGCAGTGGAGAACACAACTGTTCTCCTCCTGAAAGGCTCGTGGACTCTGCAGCAATTTAATGACTCTCTATAAGGTCACTGACCTTGAGCCATGAATTCAGGTTTATGTGCTTAGATTTAGATGCTTCAACTGCAACACCTGCTTGTCCCAAAGAAGATGTGAGAGGCATCTGTTAGTGTCGTGGAAAGACACCGGGGTCCTGAGTTAGTGAAGTTATATATGAGCAAGTCCTAGCAAAAAGCTCTATAGTGCCTATCTCATTTCTCAGCTATATATTTGCTTGATAGCAATATAATTCTACTTTATAGCAATGGACCATCTAATTTATCAGCTGAAACAATGTCCTGGGTATAGTCAATTATTTTTCCTTAATACCACACGCCTTTTTACACAGATTCGAATTTTACAAAATAGTTACTATAAAACATATTCTCTTTGGTTCAAATTAAATGATCAAGAAAAACACGCTCTTTGGAACTCTGATTGGAACTATGATTGGGTCTCAAGGGCCCCACAGTTCCCCTCCCCACTACTAGCAGCACTGCCACTGCTGGGTTCAACACAGGGATAGAAAGATCCTCTAAAAATAATATTTTCAAGTTCAGAAATAATTTGGTATTCTAAAAGAGAGCAGATCATCTCACAAGTAACGCTTTATTACTTGACTTTAAAATAAATGATCACAGCAATAAAGCAGCCAAACATCAGGAAGTTTCTCAGGTTATGTGAAAATTGTTTCCTTGATGCTATTTTATAAATCACTTGAATGAAATGGCCAGGTTTTCTTCCAAGAGAAACTAAAAGTCTACATAAAACTGTTAGGCTCTCATAAACACTTAAGCAGGTTTTTGCTTGATCACTCAACTTCATAAGCACCTGCTGAGCAGCTAGATGCCACGTCCTACACAGCAGCAAGACAGTATTTGCTCTGCAGGAACTTCCACATGCAGAAGGTCCTGCTGGACACTGAGATGCCAAGAGACGCTGGACATGCTTCTCTCAGCGCAGCGCAATGCAGCGCAATCTGCATATGGAATCTCAACAATGAGGCACACTGAATGGGGTAAGTAGTCCTCCAACAACACCCCAAGCTCTTTGTGTATTTGATAAACAAGCAAAATTTTCTTCTGGCAATACCCAAGCCCCTCTCCTCTCCCGTCCAGGACACGACCCACCACTAAGAACACACCGGGCTTCCCTGCATCGCAGTGCCTCTTCCCTCACCTCACATGCTCCTCTCGCTACCTGACCCACACGGCCAGTTTCCTACTTGGGTCTATGTAGCCATCTGCCCTTGCTCCACTGCAGCTGCCCAAGAGCATGAATGGTGGCAGCTGACTCAGCAGTTAATGAATATTCCCCTAGACTTTGCCCAACCAGACTTCATGCCAGTCAAATCAGTTCTTCCTTCTTACTCTGGCAGTGAGAGTTACAAAAGCATGAAAATACAAAACGTAAAAGCAAGGCTGGAGAGATTCTATGTAAATCTCGCTTAAAGCTTTTTACTAGGGCCAGTGAGATGGCTCAGTAGAATAAGTGCTTCCCTGGCAAGCACAAGAGCCTGAGTTCAATCCCCAGTTCCGAAGGAAAAACAAACAAACAACTTTTTACACACCTTGTAGCTAAAATTTGTACTTGTTCTGTCATTAAAAACTCTCAGAGGGCTGGCCAAACAGCTCAGTGGACTGAAGCACCTGCAAACAGGCGCAGGGGCCTGCTGTGCCGGCCCGGCTCCCGGGGCGCACTCAGATGGCGATTGAGACTGGGCGTGCCTGTAATCCCAGCTCTTGGGAGGCTGTAAACAGGTGGACCACTATGAGTCCAATCTCGTAATGAGACCCTGAACACCCTGTAGACCCTTCCCTAAAAACAAAACAAAAAAACCCCAAAACACCTCTCAGTAATAAACTAAGCAATTTCAATTTTCTTGTTGGATTTTTTGAGGATCTGAATATGCACTTCAGGCTGGCCTTCAGGCTGAACTCACTAAATGGTCTGCCGGTCTCAAACTTGTACTAATCCTGTTGCTTCAGGCTCGTACGTGTGGGGACTACAGGTGTGTGCCACCACACCTGGAATACGTAATCTTTAAAACTGACTAAATTCTGAAGATAATAAAGTTCATTCGTATTGACTCTCCTCTTGGGTCCCATATTGCTTCTTGGTACAATATGATTCTTCAGAACAAAAACCTTTCATAGACTTTCACTGGAGGCAGGAACAGCACAAAAATAACATCAATGGATTAGGAATCAATTATTTATGAGCAAATCTTACCAAAAAGCTCTACAATGCTTATCTGATTTCTCAGCTATATATTTGCATTACAGCAATATAATTCTACTTTATAGCAATGGACTATCTAATTTATCAGCTGAAACAATGTCCTGGGTACAGTCAATTATTTTTCCTTAATACCACATGCCTTTTTACACAATTTGAATTATACAAAATAGTTACTATAAACATACTCTCTTCAGTTCAAATGAAATGATCAACAATAATACGCATTTTGGAACTATGATCGGAAACGTCTCAAAGGCCCCACAGTTCCCCTCCCCACTACTAGCAGCGCTGCCACTGCTGGGTTCAACACAGGAACAGAAAAATCCTCTAAAAATAACATTATATATATATCTCTTCCTATGTATTCCAGACTGGCCTTAACCACTCTGTGTCCTCCCGCTTCAGCCTGCATGCTGGGACACCCAGCCAGGGGCCACTTGTAACTCTCCTCTGTCTCCCACACCTCCATCCCTGCATGCTGGGTCATTAAACACAACCTCACATTGCAAAACTTTCTGAAAAATGTAGCTTCTGCTGTATGCTTACGCAGGATATTCAGTGCAGTAGGCCGAGGCGGTCTGACAGGCAGTCACCAGCGGGGAAGAAACGCCCGTACTTGTCTGGCCACCCTCCAAACGCAACTCTTCACTATTCTCGTCTTCTGGTCTCCGGGTCACAGGGCCCGTGCTTACCGCACCCTTCCCTTTGCCTCCTCTCCTGCCCCATCTGGACCCGGGCAGGCGGTCCTGCCCTCTCGGGGCTCTCACGAGCGCTGCGCGCACTGCTCTGCCCACACCACCACTGCATGGCTCCTGTCAGATGCTGGCAGGACCCAGGCCCACTCCTGGCCAGGCCTTGTACAAAATAAGCGCAAAACCTTAACCCCAAGCCAACTGGCTTTTCCTCAGTGACACACCTTTGATCACTCGGGTGGCATTCCCGCACAGAACTTATACATGTATCAAGCACTCAGCTATCTTCTGAGGGTTTGGATGGATGAACTGTGTAGTACTGTAAGCTGAGGAATACCACCTACTTCTGCTTCCAGCCAGAGGATCAGGGGTAACTTCACTATGACCCTGTACTGCACAGACTGCCTGCTGAACCCTTCATGGAATAGGAAACCAAGTTAAAAAGAACTCTGTACTCCAGTCCTGGCAGAAAATCAGGGGTGCTGGCTCCAGGAAGTCCCAAGATGCAGGGCAAGGGTCACGGAAGTCCCCCAGAAGTGGGAATGGTGCACAGACACCCCAGGGGAATGGTGCACAGACACCCCAGGGGCTGTTTGGATTCTTCCCTTGGCTCCGCCCTTCTTCCCAGAGCTCTGAGGGTCAGGTGCCCTGTGAGGACTCCCCTTTGTGCGCTCTCTGAGGTTGCTGGAGGTGTCTGCTGCTGACATTTATGGAGCGACAGCTGAGACAGGACGGCCACCTCCAGATGAGGCTCCCCAGCTCCGTGATTTTCTTTATGGAGACCTTTTATTTAAAAATTACTTTATAAAATTTCAGCATTGTAAGACAAAAGTAATCAGCCCTGAAGTAATATTCACCTACATTTCAGAGAAAAAAACAATGAAGAGTCATAACTCCTCAAGCCACGCAAGGCAGACTGCGGCAACATGTGTGTGTGTGTGTGTGTGTGTGTGTGCGCGCGCGCGCGCGCGTCCTCACACTATACACTCAGATCTCTCCTAATGCAGGGTTCAAAGCAGACGGGAGAGCAAGACTTCCCGACAGGTAACTGAACCAAAGGTAAACACAACCCTTCTTAATAATTCAACCCAAAAGGGCTGGGCCTGGCAGCATACAGCCATAAGCTCAGCACTTGGGGTGGGAACATCACCTTGAATTGAGGCCAACCTGGGCTACACAGAAGATAAAGGACAATCTGGACTACATTGCAAAACCTTGCCTCACAATAATCAGTAAAGAAAAATACAATCGAGAAGGAAATACTCTTTTTTGTGGGGGGACAATCAGGGTACATTTCTTTCAGAAAAACTATCTTCTTTCATGAATTCATTAAGAACATGTACTACTTCTCAGAAAATAAGCCAAATATCATGTTTACTAGTAGAAGCATTTGCTGTTTTTTACTTTTTTGATTTCATCTTCTTATATTCAAATTTTCCATTTTCACTGACTTTTACTGCTTTGACTTATATTTATTTATTGGGTTTTTTTGAGACAGGGTCTCACTATGTAGTTCAGGCTGGCCTTGAATTCACTATGTAGCCCAGGCTGGGCTTGAACTCACAGCGACCCTCCTTCCTCACAGCCTTTCAGTGCTGGGATTACCAGTGGGCGCCACCACACTTTGCTTATTTTTCTAAGTTTTAAATTTACCACTTCCACTGTCCATGTCCCAGCTGAGCTCTGCACAGCCCTTGCTTCTACAGTACCCTCACTGTTACACTCCATTCCGTCTCTCAGCACCTCCCTTCCTGGGTAGGAAAGAAAAGTTTCTTACGATGGCAGGGCGTCTTTGATCTTCATGTGGGAGATGTCGTTGTACAGCGCGATGGACACCACCTCCTCCATGGGGCAGATGAGGCCGTACTCCTCACAGCCATTCTCGATCACCAGGGGGTCAGACTTGTGAGGGTCGAACATGATGTTGTTGGGGGTGACAATCATGACGCCGCCGACCACACCCTGCAGACACGGGGCAGGACATGGCTGCTCTGGCAGAGGCTTTGGGGAGCTATGAAGGAGCTGCAAGCTACCCAAACCACCCCTCTACGAACTCTGCGCCCCATGTCCCCCACACCCACCACGCTTCACAGCCACAGCGGCAGAGCCGAGCCTGGGTCTGACGCAGCTGCAGCAGTGCCACTGTGTGAGACTGAGACTGCACGCACCACTCTGGGTCCCCCAGGTCTCTCTGAGGATGAGAGGGGCTGTCCTGTGTGCTGTCCTGACAAGGGCCAGGGTGCCGAGCAGGAATCTGAACAAAGGAGCCCGGGAACAGCCAGGCTGCATCCTGTGGGTGTCTGTAGACCCCAGCCCGAGCCCAGCACAAGGAGCGTGAGGAGTACAGCGCCTCGTGGCCACTGGGCGTGGCTGCGCTGTGGAAATCAAGGGTGACCAACACAAGTGTGTGGCTCTGCAGCGTCCGAGGAGGTCGGGCGACTTAGGCCTTCACTGGCCAGGGACAGGTTATTGACCAGGGACGGAAGGATTCAGATGCTCTTAGGGACTCTAACAGTCATCTTCATGAGCATTTCTGCATTTGAGGCATTATTATGTTTGTAAAGTTACAAATGCACGTCAGTAACTTATTTTCCAGCTGTGGAACCGATAGGAACCCGGTGATGAATGCAGAACACCAGCACAGCAGCTCTTCTGAGGTTCACTACAAGTCTGACTTTTTTTGTGTAAAACATCAACAACCGAAAAGCTAAAAACAGGCAACATTGTTAATACTAGCATTAGTGGTAGCAGGATAAAAAATTACCATTTTTCAGATTAAGTCATAATTTTTTTACATGAATTAACTCTTTTAACTACCACACCTGGTTAGTTACTTTTTATTTATTGATTTTTGTCCTTATTTTAACTTTTCTGTTTGTTTTTGATACTGGGTTTCACTATGCAGTTTGGATGCATAGCGGTTCTCCTGCCTCAGCCTCCTCAGTGCTGGGATTACAGGTGTGCACCACTATATCTGGTTTGGGGGATTGCACAGCACGCGCAGCATTCCGGGACCAGCATGGCATGTGGTACTGGGAACTCACCTTGGGACCTTGTGCTTGCCAGGCAGGTGCTTAGACTGCTCAGCTATCTTTCCAACCCTATTGATCTTATTTTATAGATGAGAAAAATAATCTTCAGGGATTTCCACCCTTCACCTGTGGTCTCAGGAGGGCATCAGAGGTAGTGAGCTTTCTGATAACCACTTCCTGCACCTAACAATTTCACTGTACGAAGGCCCCGAGAATTTCCAGGTCTGGATGAAGGGTCAGTGCTGACTCCAAGGTCACAAGGACTGACCTCCTCAAGGTCACAAGGCTGGTACAGTGCAGGTTATGAAGACTCCAGAACCACAACAGATGTTCGTTAAATCTCGAGTGGAAGCGCAGGGAACTACCTCACCGCAGGCTTCCTTGCGCTGACTTACAGCTTCTGTTTCCTCAGATTCCAAGAGAAGCAAACACAGCGGTGCCACGTACCTTCCCGTCGGTGAAGTAGCGACAGTTCATTTTCAGAAACTTCACCACGCCTGGCTCATCTTCTTCCGAAGTAGAGGACAAGACTCTTTCGATGGGTCTTAAGGCCTTTCTCGCTAAGTCAGCATCCTTAGGAAAGCGCAAATTTCCAAAGTCAAATAAAAGCAATTTTTCAAAACACTTTATGTGTATAAAACAAGTTTTATAAGCTCCCCTGTCAGTACAGCTTCTATGCAGCTTAAACATACTTTGTCCTTCAAAAATACTGTGAATGCAACAATAGGTACCCAAACCCACTTAATTTTTTTTTAAATGGCCTATGTCTGAGCCCACACAGGGCTTATTCAATGAATTAGAAGATAATGTAATGAAATAATTCCTAGTAGATTTCTGACTGCAGTGCTCTAGGGAAGGAAGGCGCACTCATGATCGGCGCAGCTCACTGGCAGTTCAACTCCACAGCTCTACCCAAGGCCCAGGTTCTCATCTCTGAGATGCTTTTTCTTGGAGAGGATGCATTCTCTGGACTAAGGAAGCTCACCCAACCCCAGTCCTTGGCATGGAATTTTGGACATGGCCTTGTACAAAGCAGCAGGTGGGTTCTGCGGCTCATGGAAAGAGCTTGTGATAAGAATGAACGCGGGGGGGGGGGGCACCGCGCGGAGCATACGTACGGGCAGCTTGTCATACTCAGCATCTGATGAGGAAGGAGAGACAGTGGTGCCAGGGCTGGAGGACGAGAGCCTCAGGGCACTGGCAGGAGAGCTGGCATCCGGCACGAAGAGGACCTGAGGGCAGGAAGCGCTGAGTGGGGACAATGGCCAGGCAGATGGGCAGGATGGGGCCTCGGCTCAGATGTGGGGTAATTAAACACTGACCCCCCCCCCCCGGGATTCAATAAAGCCATGAGAGACCGTACAAGGTCTCCTAAAAAGGACCTTGTGGGCAGGAACTCAGAAACATGCATCTTAGGCTCCTGCTAGCTGCTTCCACTTTGGCCTTTGATTTAAACTAAAATTCAGAAGGGCCAGCCTGATAGCTTAGGCACAGCACAGTAGCCATGTCAGCCCCGCCCCTGGGGCACACTGAGACAGCAATTGAGGCTGGGTATGGTGGCGCGTGCCTGTAATCCCAGCACTTGGGAGGCTGCATACAGGAGAATCACTGAGTCTGTTCTATGTCGTTAGACCATGTAGGCCCTACCCTAAATTCAGGAAATAAATACACTAAAATTCAGTGTTTACTGACAATTATCATTCTAAGATTCAGTCCCAAAATGTTTCTAGACAAGGGAGAAGCACAGAAGGTGTGCTGACTTTCACTTCATGACAGTGATTGGTGCAGGAGCAATGGAGGGGCTCCTAATGGTGGGGAGGCCTCGGCTTATAGCATTAGAGAGTCCTTTTCCTTTGGGAAGAGCAGCTGCCTATCCCAGGGCAGAGCTTGGGTTCTGTGGGCAGTGACACTTCCCTCCACTGGAGGGAGCAGGACCACTGCTCAGGATGTGCTTGCTACCGCAAGCTTGTGGGAGTGGGGTGGCCTGTTTACTTAGGAACCCCAGGTTGGCCAACACTCACACCCTACTGCACCCCAAGTATGGGTTGGGAAGTCAAGACCTGAAGGTAGGTACCACGCTGAAGGCCCATCTTTGCTCAGACCTGAGTGAGGCTCCCACTTGAAGCTGAGCCACTGGTGGGAACAGGCGTGTCCATCAATCAGGGTCTTACAGACAAATCCATAAATGATACAGAGCCCCATGTACCTGTGCCGCGCAGCAGAGGCCATGGGACCTGCCTATGGATGCTGCAGGAGACCAAAAAAGGAGTGGCAGGTGAAGCAAGTACATCCAAGTGGTGTCCTGCTGAGCAGGAGCCGGGTGGGGTGGGGAAGAGAAGAACCTTCCAGAGAAGGGACTCAAGACAGGCAAGCAGCCCTTGCCCAAAGAGCGGCTTGCCTTAGAGCAGGAAGCGTTTCAGATTTTTTGGGGGGAATTATGAAAATTCTGCATACACTTTACCTGGTCAACATCCCCGGCTTTATTAAAAATCCCAAATCCAAAATGCTTCCAATGCACTCAAACAGACTTTGGAGCATTTCAGTTCTCAGATTAGGGCTGCTTGTTGTGGCATAAGACAACAGAGGAGAGAAAAGTCCAGCTTGCTTCTAAGTATAATAATGCATCAGGTAGATGGGGAACAAACTGTGGCCTGGTGACGCCAAGTGGGCTCGAGTACTGACACAGTTCATACAATAAACACTGCCAGGCAGAACTGACGTAGGAATCCTAACACTTTCTCCTCCATCAGTGCCTGCATTATACAAAAATAAAAAATACCCCCAGAATTTGAACAAAATATCCTCCTCCTGCAAAATACGGCTTTAAAATGTTATCATGATCATGTTCTTCAACAGCCTTTTAATGAGACACGCTGTTTGGGCACAGATCAGATACAATCTTAAAATGATAACTTTTAATGCTATAAAGGAGAATTTGGAGCTAATCTCAGAATCCATACCATTGCATCTCCTCTGTAAAGAAAATTTATTTTGACTTTCACTACTTAAACCTCGCTTCAATCCAGAAAAGACTTAAGATAAATATGAAAAACACATTCAGATAAAAAGGAGAAATAGAAACTAGTATTTTTAAACCAATATTGCAGGTATGTTAAGAGTCTTTTAATTCCTACTGGCTACTGAACTTTAATGTAGTAACAATTAACCATTTTGTTTACGGACATAATATTGCCTATGATATCTTATTATGTTCCAATGACTATACTATTTAGACTTGAATTATTATTATTCTTGTCTTTTTGAGACAGCGTCTCCCTGTGCAGTTCAGGCTGGCCTTGAGCTCACTCTGTAGCCCAGGCTGGTCTCAGACTTGCAACGATCCTCCTACCTCAGCCTCCCGAGTGCTGGGATTACAGGTGTGCACCACGCCTGGCCTCGAAGCACTAATGCGTGCCGCATGTTCTCTGGTATGTGTCAACTGCACATTATGAGGCAATGCTGCAAACCGTAAGGTGAGTCCTGACCAAGATTAACACCTGCCTGTTTTCTTGGAGGTAGCCACATAGCCATCTTGTGGAGAGTTTCAGTGAAGCTCTACCCCCACTCCCATTACCTGGCGCTGACAGAACACGAATTTCTCTTTTTCATGAACACTAACTGACAAAAAGAACTACCTGGCCACCTTGGGGGGCCTGTTGGGCTCAGCTGCTGACCTTGAGAGAAAATGCAGACTGGCATCAACACTGCCCGAATGAGCTGTGCGTAGGGACAACACTTTCTACCCTGAAAGAATGAGACGCCCTGCAACGCGCAGGTGCACGCAGGTGCTGCGGTGAGACAGCAGCAGCTCCACTGTGCTCTCGGGAGCCGCGCACCCCACCGAGGCTGGCCCTCGGGCTCTGAAGTGCGTCTCATGACGGCCATTCACATGTATTAGCTACATGTAGCATTAGACGGGAAATGCCAGACTGCCTGGTCATGCACAAGGAGCTGAAAAAAGTTTACTGGATTAACCCGATGTGGCAAGATTCGATATCTGTCAATTTCACTCAGTTCAGCAAATTAATTACTAAAAGTGTGGAAAAAGTTGGGGTAACTTTTTCCAATAGTGCTGTTCATGGTGGCCCTTCTTGTGTCACACTGAGACACAAATCACCAAAACTGCCTAATTTAAAACAAAAACAGTATTTGTAATGTACCGCAAAGAAGTAGATTAAATTGAAAATGGCAATTCTTGACTAAATATTTAAGGATACCTACTACATTACATTTGATAGGAAAAAGTTACATTGATTTTGAACTTCGCCTGATGCCCTGGGGAACATTTCCACCTAAGTTAATGGCGGTGATGAGACCTGTGGCACCCCTTGGGAAGTGCCACTCTCTGATCAGTTCTTAGGTGTTGGGGTGCACCTGGCATGGCTGGGTCGACAGGAGAGGAAAGACGGGGCCCACAATCCCGAGATGTGAGCAGTACAGCACTCAGCATGCAATAAAAGATAAACAGAACATGTCTACAGTGACATACAGCAGGAAAGTAGTTACCTGGCCTGGAACAATCGTGTGTGTGAACAGTTTATTCAGTTCCACTAATTTATTGGGAGTGATGTTAAACTTCAGAGCTATGGAGTTTAGGGTGTCCTGGCTTCCAGCCTAGAATGATCAGAAAACAAGATTCAACATGTAAAGCAACCCAAAACAGAACAAAATTCCTTTTGATGCATTAATGTATTTAACATAAGAGTGAAGAAATAGTTTCATCCAGATGTATATGGAAGACAGCAAATACATTCTCACTTTTTCATAGAACCATGTAAAAGTTATAAATGTAATTTACTCGTAGGCTCTCCCATTTTCAAATTCCACTGTGCATTAAAAGATTTCTAATTTTGCTTTGGCACAATTTAGGTCTACAGAATAGAGGTCCCTAAGGTCTATTAGAAAACTATAAGGAACCCTCACACACGAACACCCACCCCCACTAGAGGAAGGGGACCACTTTCTCTCACGTGGATTTCTGGCTCTTGACTCTCTCTTCTATGCACTACCCACTCATGACAGTGGCCCATTAAGGGCTATTTTCGCAGGGTGCTCTTGAGAAATCGCCCAAAGACTGCTGTGGAAGGCAAGCACTGTGGGAGAAACTCAGAGGTGCTACCAAGGCAGCTGCACACTGTCATTAGCAATTTTCTAGTCTGCCAAATCACTGCTGCTCTAGATCTCAAAATTTGTGGCACACATTCCTGATGCACGCTTTTTCTTTCCTCCTCTGTAGGGAAAATGGGAAGTTTCACAGGGGAAAACATCTCCCAAGGCAGACTCCCTGCCCAGAGCCAGCAGACAGACTTGTGGGAGGCCAGGCCACTGTGATGAATGTCACCGAGTCCCATCTGTGGCCCTGGGCTATGCTATTGGCTGCCCCTGTACACAGAACTGATTCCAGAAGGCAAACCAGGTGGAAACCTGAGGACGCCAAGGGGGGATGTTGAATGGGCAAGAGGCAGAGATGCAGAGGCAGAGACATATACCCACTACCCTTGAAATGAAAAACCCATCCACTAATGAACTATCTCCATTCCTCTATCCATCTATCCATCTGTCCATCCATGTATCCATGTATCCATCCATCCATCCATCTACCCACCCACCCATCCACCCATCCATCTGTCCATCCATCTATCTGTCTACCCATGTATCCATGTATCCATCCATCCATCCATCCATCCATCCATCCATCCATCCATCCGTTTCTCTATCCATCCATCCATCCATCCATCCATCCATCCATCCATTTCTCCATCCATTTCTCCATCCATTTCTCCATCCATTTCTCCATCCATTTCTCCATCCATCCATCCATCCATCCATCCATCCATTTCTCCATCCATCTATCCATCCATCCATCCATCCATCCATCCATCCATCCATCTATCCATCTGTCCAACCATCTATCCATCCATGCATCCACCTCCACTGCAAATCTAACTCTGGGCATAATCATCTCTAGTAAAAATGAACAAAAAAATTAAAACAGCAGTTTTCATTCTATATAACATTCACATGCAGTTGTTTTCAAGGTTGAGTCAGTACAAAACAGATTGATAATCCAGACTCTAGAGCAGATTACTTCACTGAGCGCCTGACCAGCCACCTGCTGGCTGCACAACTGGGCACTTGGCTCCATTTCTCCAGATCTACTTTTCCACCCCTTAAAGAGAGATCTATCACCACAGTATCTGCTCTGCATGTCTTATTTCTTTTCATGATATGTGATCAATAAATTTGCTTCTTATTTTTATGAATAAAGCTTGTAAAAGATCCTGTGTATACACCATTCAGTGAATGTGAAAAATGTTAACTGCTCAGAGTTATCACATAAAGAGGAAGTGACATGCAGGATGGGGCCACAAGGATGCTGAAAGGCATGAACCAAACTAAAACAGAAAGCCTGAACATCTGCACCTAAGATCCAATATAAGTACCAATAAGTGCCAGCATGATGCCATGAGAGTCACCTTTTATTCTAATGACAAGGACAAAAATACATACTCAAATACATTCACTTTTCACAGCATATGTATCAATCAGATAGGCATATCTACATTACTAATCTGACGCTTATTTGTATTTGCTGACGTGTGGGCTGAGTTTTACTCTCACTTTGTTGTGTTTATGGTGTGAAGCAACTTATGGAGGGGCTTGTGAATCACACTGCTGGGTACACACAGGTCTTAAGGATTGTGGCGTTCAATTATTTTCATAAATAATACATAATTGAATCCAATGCTTCCCCATGAATATGAGATGTGGTGAAATACTCAGTGTTGTAAGGATGAAGAATGTATTTAGGTAACACAAGACCGAATCACACAAATCCTTGCTGGAAATGACTGGTCTGTTATCTTCAGAAAGATGCCTGTGGAGCTCACAGAGCACAGAGGCCCGTGCCGGGCTGTGCCGTGTGGCTCTCCCAAGCTGCACATTGCCATTCCAAAGGAAGCGCTGGAGGGCGCAGCATCCTGCTGCTTGCCCTGTACAGGGCCTGGCATGGAAACAGCGAGTGTAAAACAAGTGCACACCAGACCCAACCAGGCAGAGGTCCTCACACTGAGCTGCTCACAAGTCAAAGAGAATACTCAACAGTGCTCCCAGTGAATTAAAACAGATCACTAATCGAGTAATTCATCAGTTAAATGGTTTCACTCCTGACCACCAGGTGCTCCTGGTGCAGGGGGAGAGATGAGTACATGACACGCAGCACTGAGCCGTGCTGACGGCACACACAGCACCGTTCATCTACTAGCTCAGTAACAGGAGACCTGCTGCGCTGTGCAAGGTGCCAAGAACACAGTATGACGAGGGGCCAGTCTCTCTCCGTGGACTTAAGGAACGAAATAAGACATTCAAATGACTACACACTAATGAACAATGAAAAATGCCACGAACTAAAGGACCATGAATATATGTGAGGATACAAGGAAGGGATCCAGCCCCACTTGCCGGGTGGCCATAGGAAGCCGGTAAGAACAGGGAAAGATGTCGAGGGTCTGCCTTGCGTCAATACAGTGAGGACGGAGCCACTGCTCCCGGAGACGGGACCAAGCATAGCGAACCTAGGGGCTCTGTCGAGCGGGTAACCGGGGCTATGGCTTTGAGCTTCAGAAAGGGTGTCTGGCACAGACAACTAGGATGGCAGCCGAGGCAAACCCAAGTCCAGCTGCTTTGAGACTGAAGCTGAGGACACAGCTGTTCCTGACTGAAAGGCTCCTCTGCTGCGAAAAGTCAGAGTGGTGAGGGAAGGGACAGCTGCCAAGTTGGCTGGGTCCTCCTAAGCAATGTGCACGATCAGCGGGGGACAGATGTAGACAAGGATCCCTCATGTCCATCCTGACGTTGCTGTTTATCACAGGTATGTCCAAGGACAGGAAAGGGGGAAAACAAGGAATGACCTGAACACATCTGTACAAGTTTCGTTATTTAATAATGAACACAACCAAGAGATGTAAAATGTGTCAGGAAGAAATACATAATCCAACGGTGATAACCAATGCCCGCACCCTCGTGCTGATACTCACAGTGTACTCCAGGGTTCCCTGGGGCTTCTGAACCACCATCTTCTTCTCCTTTTTATCATGTGTCTTGTTTTGATTGTCATCTGAAGAGTAAGTTATGCACAGGTGAGTAATTTCACTTTCAGAAAATTAAGCCAGGCTAAGTCTACAGCCTCAGAAAATCCATGAGCAAACCAACATAAAGGTGGTACTTACAGAAAAGTGGGCAAAGGACACACAGAGCCCGTGCTTATAAAAGCATAGCAGTTACCAGTGAGCATCTGAATAAATGTTTAACATTAACTCTAAATGCATAATACAGATAAAAGCGCTGAAGTAATACACAGTAGATACTAAAGCGGGAGTTTAAATGGTCATGTGTAATGAAGGTGAATCTAGAGAAAAGTAAACACGACCACTACAGAAATGACACACAGTGTGACAGCTCAACCCTTCCAGGAGGGGTGTGGCCGTACAGCCATGGCCCTAAGCACATTCCGTCTCCCAGTCAGTATTTCCTCTATCAACAATTTATCCTAAGGTCAAATTCAAAAGAAGAAAAATGACATAGCTCAAGAATTTGGTTATTGAAATATTACTTGTAATAATAAAAACTGGCAAAGAGTTCATCCAATAACATAATAAGAGGGACCCCAGATTTTGCTCTTTTTAATAGGCAGGAAATGCACAACCACGGGTAGTGGCATCCAACCCAACTAATGGCTAAATACATCTGGATATATTAATCTAGACATCCAAAGCCTCGGAGTCCTATCACCGTGGATAAAACACCTAAATGACTCAAAGAATACAAAAGGTTGGATTATCAAGAAAAGACAATCTTCTGTGTGAGCGGCGAACTGTAAACTAACGCCGAGCATCACTGTACGCTCATTAGCCTGAGAGTATCAACAGGCTGGGTGCGTTCCTGCCGCTAGCAATGGGACTGGCAAATTCAACTCACAGCACTGGCATATCTGCGACCCATTTAGCTCCCGAGTGCCCTGAGGAGCGGGGGCTGAAAGGCAAGCAGAATGTGGCAGAGGTGCTCTGAGACTCCAGGCAGCAATCAGAGAACACAAGCCAGGCACACACCCAGCCCCAGGTCCGCAGGGAGAGAAACAACAGGATGGCCAAAGTTTCACTCGCGCACATCAGAAACGGGCACAGAACAACCACACATATCTTTCAGGGTGCATAAAATAAGGGCGGGTCACATGGGACAACAGAATGATCTGCAGTGGGGAGAGAAATGGGGGTGGGGATGCGACAGAGGAGAATGAACAGATAAAGGGCAGGGAGCAGCCAGCTTTGACCAGCGACAATCTGCTAGGAGGTCCTGCAAACACACACACACACACACACACACACACACACACACACACACACGGAGGTGGGACGGAGGAGAGGGAGAGGGAGGACCAACAATTCCTGTTTCATCTAACAAACAGAGGCTCAGGATGAGCACTGGAAGGTAACATGAAGACAGCTAATTCACAAAGCATTTACCCAACTTTTGTTTTATTCATTTACTTTTTCTGTATGTTAGGGGAGGCTCTACAGGGTGTTCAGGGTCTCACTACTAGATGGGACTCGTAGGGATCCGCCTGTTTACAGCCTCCCAGGAGCTGGGATTACAGGTGTGCACCACCACGCCCAGTCTCAATTGTCACCTCAGTGCATCCCACAGGTGGGGCCGGCACAGCAGGCCTGTGGATTGAACCCCTAGCCCCTGTGCTTGCGTGCAGTGCAAGCGCTTTAATCCGCTGAGCTATTTGGCTGGCCCAAAACATTTTTTTTTTTGGCAGAACCAGGGATTGAACTCAGGCTCTTGCACTTGCCAGGCAAGCGCTTATTCTACTGAGCTATCTCCCTGGTCCCCAAAACTTATTTGTTGAATTAGGGTTGCTTTCTGTTTTTGTTTTTCTTGTACCAGGGATCAAACTCAGAACCTTGTGCCTGCCAGGCTGGTGCTTATGCCACTGAGCTATCTCCTCAGCCTGACTTTTAAATATTTCTTTATATTATTCAAAAATCATAAAAACAAAAAGCAACAAATAAAGTCACTGTCATAAAAGTCCTGCTTTAGTCATTTATAGGTTCAAATTAGGACAAGTCACAAAACCAAGATCCTGCAAGCTCTTTCGGCTACAAGAAATGTTCTCCCTCCCTCCACGCCACCACGTGGGGTCAATGCCCGTCACTTCTAGATCTCTCTTTAGGAAAATTGCACGCAGCCTATATCTTCTAACAAACAACCCAATCACAGTATTTTATGTCTTACAACAACAACAAAAACTGGATTGCTTCAGGAGAATCGTGGCAAGTTCAAGACCAGCCTGGGCTACAGTGACCTCAAAGCCAGCCAGAACTACATAGTGAGACTCTCTCTCAAAACACAAAAACTGGATTGCCTCGTTCCTGGCAGGGAAGCAATGAAGGATGAACACTTTTTTTTTTTCCTCCCGAAGAATGACAAGATAAGAACTGCTGGCCTTTGCCTTGCTGCCTAGACCACAGATACCCCAGGATGAGCTGCCCGATCCCTTCTGCCACAGGCTCGTTTGGGCTTTAGGTTGAACAGTGCTCACTCCTTCCAAGCTCTCGTCTCTTTCTTTGGGGCAAACTCTGTCCTTGTGGGCATCATGAACAGCTGCCAGCTTAGGTCCTCCTGCCCTCAAGCAGGCGCTTCCTAAGCGTCAGGTCAGTGGGTGCTTCCTACGTCCGGACCCCATGCTGTGCTTGCCATCCACAGAAGCCTCCAGGGCAGTCCTTTCTATCAGCTGCCTCCACTCCCTGGGCCTGTGGGAGCACTTGTCACAAGCACCCACCTGGGCAGTAACGCACTGTCTAGCTGCCAAAGAATGGTAAGAGCAGGCTGCGCCTTTTGGGATGAACTTTGCACACCTGAATTAGTATAAAAATTTAATTGCCACCCACTGAAATGTGCATAGGCTAGGAAGTCAAGCATGTCATATTGCTAAAAGAAAAAAATAATGGATAACCCACTACTATTGTGGACTGCTGGACTGTGTTGGATTGTTCTGCTGAATTCATGCACCTATAATATTTAGATGCCAATGAAATACCAATTTCTGACAGGGCTAAACAAAAAAAGGGGATACAAGAGAAGGACCATTTTGTATCTGTATATGCAGACTAGTTAGAATAGATATACAGCTACTTTCCCTTAATTTGATGAGAAGATTTGTACTAATAGTGTTTGGAAAGGATATTCTGTCTGCATCTTGTACTATGGATAATCACTAAGAAAATAACAATGTACAATGTATTAATTATTGAAACTGTCCTGTTAATCAGTTTTGAAACTGTCTCATTGATGTTTCTCAATAAAATAACATTTAAAAAAAAGAAAAAAAATAAGTCTTTCCTCTAGAGTCTGAGATTTTGAGAACCACATGTTTGAGCTGCGACACGATACTTAGTACGTAGGTCAAGTGAGCTTCCCAGTACACACCCGTGAGTCTGACACAGCTGACTGTGGGCACCACTGCTCACCAAAACAATGCAGCACCGAGCAGGCCAAATGTACCTGTCAAAGCCATAACAGGACGCTGTTTTGCAGCTGGTTTGAAAGAGACTGTCAAATTCTAAGCACCAAATTTAATTACTGACATGTCTAGCACAAAGGAAGGTTTCATGTTGCTTACTATGTTTCTGCCTCGAGGTGTGGAGATGGCCCAACGTGTGTCTCCCAAGGCAGCGCCCTGTCCCTAGAGAGAGCTAGGAAGGCAGAGAGCTACCGTGTGCACAACAGGATCATTCCTCTGACTCTGGGGTGCAGCCCAACTCCAGCGCTGGAGGCAGGACTCGTGCTGACACCCAAGGATGCAGTGGTTCCAGTACACTGGCGGCACCAACACTACCCCGCCTCAGGCGCATTCCCAACCCCACACACCTTCCAAATCCTCGTGGCCCTCTAGCTCGCAGAGCTCAGTAGAGTAATGCAGGGCGGAAGCCGGCCACGGGCTCTGCAGAACTAGTGTGGGCACAGCACCCGGATCGCTTACCTGTCAACCTATGAATGAGTTTCTCAAAGCCAGCTTTTCCTTATCCAGTTTTGTAACAAAAGAGACAAAACCCTAGAATAACGGAACACTGGCTGGCAAGCCTTTCCCATCTTGTGTTCTCAGGGATGGAGCAGATGCAAGTGTTTCATTCAGTATTCGCCTCACTTTTCTCCCCGAGCTGAGCACAGGAAGGAGAAGGATGCCCAAGCATCCTCCCCCTCAGCACCAAGGAGGGCTGGGCATGACTTGGCCCACACTGACCCACAGGGCACTTCGGCAAATTACTCAGCTTCCGGAATGCTGCCTTTGTAAAGCAAGCTACTACTTCCTGTGGTAAATCATAGTCCATCATAAATGAGAACGATACACAGCATCTCGTCCACGGCGTCCAGAACAGGTTCCTGCTCACCTTCCAAACACTTTTTAAAACATCCTTTGTCATACAAATGGATCAAGGACTTAACTGGATAAATTTAGACTTTACAAGAAAATACAGGAACTATAAAAAGCCACTTCTACATGAATCAAAGCTATATAGAGCTATAGCCTTAGTCCATTTGAGATATTAAAAAACACCATAAATGGGTAGCTTGTGCCTAACAGAAATTTATGTCCAGCCATGCTGAGCGCAGGAAGCCCAAGGCCAAGGCCTGAGGAAGGGCAGGGCTTCCGAGAACCCTGTCCTCCAGCACAGACGAGGGAGTTCCCTGTGTGCACACCCGCCCCTTCATCCTCGCCCCGCATATGCGCCCTTCTCTGCTGTCAGCGCAGTCCGTGGGTCACACGGCTGTTTTCTGGGGGCACAGGCAGATGTGTCCTGTTTATCATGGAGGTAATCATGTGGTGATGTTGCTAACACATTTCCAACAAACACAGGCTCAACTATTTCTATCTAATAATTTCAATTTATTTTGCACCCAAATCCCTGAAGCCCAATCTGCCTGTCTGTTAGTTGATACATTGTGTCAACTTGGCTGAATCAGCTGGGGCAGTTCTCAGGGTGGGGGCCTCGCCCTGCAGGTGGGCAGGGCCCAGGACTTGAGAAAGGCAGGAAGCCACCCTGCCTGCTGTCC